ATCTCTATAAAATACGCTCGTTTATAATAGTTTTATATCGTTTATCGATTAATAGAAGAAAAATAGCGAGGAGAAGAAGAGCGTTATATTAATTATATTAATAATATTATTACGATAACTAATATCGAATAAAAGAAGAAGTATTTATTAGAAATAATATATACTTAATAATCTTAAATCATAAAGCATAGTTATTTATTATTATATTCTATAAAGAAGTATATAGAAAGAATAAAGATAACTATCTATCTATAATATAAAGCTACGCTAAGACTATTTACTATTATAAGACGTAGTTATAATATCTCTTTAAAATTTAATAGTATATAAATATACTGGCCTTCTATTAGCTAATTCTAATACTCTTATATAGTTTAAATAGTAAGCTGAAAATACTATTAATTCTAATACTTTTATATAGTTTAAATTTAGACTACTTCTTATCTACTCTTCTTAAATTTAATTTAGTTTATAAATATAGTAAACTTATTATTATATACGAGTAAAGGTCTATAAATTAAATTTATAATTATTTCTTTTAATTAGAGCTATCGAGCGAACTTTAATAAAGAAATTAAAGAATTCTAATAGAAAATAAAAATGTTATTCTAAAATTAAATAATATATTCATATTTTTTAATTAAGGCTATCGAGCGAACTTTAATAAGCGATATTTAATTTCTTTACTCTTTAATAATTATAAGACTAAATTTAGAAATTCTTTTTTTATCTAAAAGCTCGTATATCGTTTTATAATTTAAAAAAATAAATAAAATTTTAATAGAAGATAAAAAAATTATTCTAAAATTAAGTAATATATATATATTATTTAATTAGAGCTATTTAACTATTCTTTTTTAATAATTACGAATATTAATTAATTTATTTATAATAATATAGTCGATTTAATTAAAAAGCGTAGTAACTCTAAATTTATAATTAGCTATATATATAAATTTAAGATTTTTAAGTTTAGCTCTATCTTATTCTTTTATATATATTAATAATAGAAGAATAAGATAGAGCTAAATTAGAAAATCTTAAATTTATATATATAGTTAATTATAAATTCGAGTTCTCTACGCTTTTTAACTAGATCGACTAAGTTATCGCGAGTAAATAAATTAGCGTTCGCAATTATTAAAATCTCGCGCCTTCTTATTAAAAATTAAATATACGTTATTAATATATAAAATAACTTTTTTATTTTCTATTAAAATTTTAAGATTTTTTTTTAAATTATAGAACGAAATATAAGCTTTTAGATAAAAAAATAATTTTTAAATTTAGTCTTATAATTATTAAAGCGTAAGAAATTTAAATATCGCTTATTAAAGTTCGCTCGATAGTCGAATAGCCCGCTTATTAAAGTTCGCTTATTAAAGATCATTTATCTATTTACTTAATAGTCTTAATTAAAAAAATAATTATAAACTTAATTTATAGATCTTTACTTATATATTAATAAAAGAATAAGATAGAGTTAAATTAGAAAATCTTGAATTTATATATATAGCTAATTATACATTCGAGTTCTCTTTACTTTTTAATTAAACTATCTAAATTATCGCGAGTAAATAAATAAATATTCGTAATTATCGAAAAATAATAGATATAGATTATTAATATATAGAATAACTTTTTTATCTTCTATTAAATTTCGAAGATTTTTTTTAATCTATAAAACGAAATCTGGGCTTTTAGATAAAAAATGAATTTTTAAATTTAGTCTTATAATTATTAAAGCGCAAGGAATTTAAATATTGCTTATCAAAGTTCGCTCGATAGTCGAATTCTCGAATAGCTCTAATTAGATATACATTATTTGATTTTAGAATAACATTTTTATTTTCTATTAAAACTTTAAGATTATTTTTTTAAATTATAGAATGAATTATAGGCTTTTAGAAAAAAAAGAATTTCTAAATTTAGTCTTATAATTATTAAAGCGTAAGGAATTCAAATATCGCTTATTAAAGTTCGCTTACCTATTTACTCGATAGCCCTAATTAAAAAAATAATTATAAATTTAATTTATAGACCTTTACTCGTTATTAATAAGAGTTTTAGTAAGTTCGTTTATAGCTATATTATTAATAGATACTTATTTAAATATAACTACTTCTATTTTTACTTAATTCCATACGAAATATTATTAAATATTAATATACTTTATATATAAGTAAAAGCGAGAGTTCTTTATTAATATTATAACCCTCTAATTATCTACTTTAATTAGTATTAATCTATTAGATAATTCGAAATTAATATCTAATTTACTTAGAAGTTTAATTAATTAAATAGCTTTCTTTATTATCTAGGTTTAAATTATATATTTAGCTTTATAAAATAATAATATAATAAACTATTATCGTTTAGATATTTAACTAATTATTTTATTATAAAGTAAGAATATATAAACTTTAAGAAATCGATAAGTCTCTTAATTCGAGGCCTAATTAGTATTCGTATAATCTTTTAATACGTTAGTTATTCTATACGTAATATTTTAAATTAGTATTTTCTTTAAATAATAAATAACTTATTTAATAGCTATAATATATTTCGAATTAAAGTTATAATTATATTATAAAAGAATTATAATAGTAAAATAAATATTCGGGCGAGTCTAAATTATAAGATATATTATTAATTTTATTATTAATTAATACTTCTAAATAATTTCTAGCTTAGTCTTATTAACTAGTTTCTTCTATAGTTAAGTATTTATTATTATTAATATAGATATAGATATATAATTAGTTATATTAAATTATAATAATATTTTTCTTAGATATATCGTTTAGATAATCTAAATAATTCTCTTTTTATAATTTCTTTAAATTTTTATACTTAAATAGTATAAGTATAGTTTAAGATTAGTTATAGCGAATCGCTTATAAAGATCTTATTTAAATTCTAATATCTATTTTAATTCTTTTAAATTATAAATCTAGATATTATTTATATATACGCTAACGATAAGTTATATTTTCTTATTAATAAAGAGTAAGTAATCGAATTTAATAGATTTAAATTCTTTAAATATAAGAAAGTCTTATAGAGTAAAGTATTATTTTTATAGCGACTATTTTAGATTATATAGTACTCTAAATAATAAATATATCTTATTATCTTTCTTTTTATATTCTTTAAATTATTTTATATAAATAATTTTCTTTAATAATATATTAAGAAATATAATAATAATATTTATTTACTTATAATCTAGGTCGTAGTATATTATAATTATAAATAATATTTCTAAATAATATAAACTTAATAATTAAGATAAAGATTTAGTTATAATTAATATTATAAGTTTATTTAAAATTTTAAATTATTTAGCGTACTTTATAGAGAATAAAGTTATTAAATTTCTTCTTTATCTTATAAACTTATCTATTAATAAAGACTAATATATTCTTTATTCTTAAAATAAGCTTCTAAGTATTTATTATAATAAAGAAATTCATTTACTTATTTATAATCTCTTTTTATTATTTAATATAGAGGCTAGCTATTATCTAGTTATAGATTAATAATTTAAAATTATTAATCTCTATAGCGGTTTAGTAATATTTTATATTAATTATTTATTAAATAGTAGTAACGAGATATAAAATAGAATTAAAATTATAATAATTTAAATTTTTATAATTTAATATAACTTATTTATAATATAGATATTTTAATTTTAAATTTTTTATTATATTTAATATAAGTAATAACTCTCTAGATCTATATTTTAATATTACTCTATTTATTATTTTAAAAAAACTTTCTAAAAAGATATAGAAATTCGTTTTAATTAAGAATTATATATTATATCGAAATATAAATCTAAATAAGTAATAGAACTATCTCGAGATATCTCTTTAATATCTTCGTTATTAATTTTTTTAGATCTATATTATTATCTCTTATATCTTTAATTCCTTTAATTTCTTTAATATTTTTATTAAAAAGAATATTTCTAATTTTATTTATATTAATAGAGTTTATATCGATATAATATAAATCTTAAATATATATTAATATATTATAAAGTTATTCTTTATATTAAATATATCTATTATATTATTATTAATAGTCTTAATTAGTTTTTTTTATTATAATAGTTATTATTTATAATTTATTAAAATTAATATAAGAGAATCGTTTTACTTATCGAGTAATTAAATTCTATATTTAAAAGATATTTATATCTTTATAATTAATTAGATAGCACTTCTTATTATATTTATTAAGCTTCTTATACTTTTTTTAAATATATATATTTAAATTATATAATTAATAATCTTTATATAATTAAAATATATTTATTTATCTATCTATATTTTATATAATATTATATTCTAAAGATAAATAATAATTCTTTTATTTTTTTAATATATTTTAATATAAAGTAATTCTAATTATAAATAGTAAGATAACTTTAAATTAAAAAATATAGTTTTTATTCTATTTATAATAATTCGATTTTATATCTTATTAAGCTTATTTTATTTAGATATATAAAGTACGATAAACTCTTATATAATTTCGAAGTTTTTAAAATATTCTTTAAATTTATTATTATTATTTAAACGAATTATTTTAATCTTATAATTAAATTTATTTTTTATCTAAGTTTTCTAATTATAAAATAATTTAAAAATCTTATTTTCATATTTATATATTAAGTATTAGATTTAAAAATTATTTAATTAATTAGAAGTATATAATACTTAATTCTATTAATAAATAATATATTAAAAAATTCTCTTAAATTTATATAAATCTTATTATCACGGAAAAGCGTGCCTTATCGCTAACCGTTACGTTAAAGCGCTAAAAGAGCGTAGACCCCTATCTAAACAGCAAGAATTCTCTAAAGCACACTAAATCCGTAACAATTACACACTTCGAAAAATGGCGCATATCCCCATGCGCTGGCCTACACGCATATCGTATTTAAGAACCTCTCAGATCTGACCCCGTAAGCTACTTTGGCCTGGTGCTCCGCAGGGAATCGAACACTCCTCCTCCAGGTTATAAGCCTGACGTGCTACCAATACACTATGCGGGCCAAGTAACCTCTTCAAACTGTCCGAGTCACACCCGAAATCGAACTGATATTGCTACCATTTATTACGGAAAAGCGTGCCTTATCGCTAACCGTTACGCTAAAGCGCTAAAAGAGCGTAAACCTCTGTCTAAACAGTAAGAATTCTCTAAAGCACACTAAATCCGTAACACTTATCGAGTTTTTCGAGTATCTTATATTATACTCTTTTTAAAATCTTTTATATAAATTTAATTTTAAAATAAATTTTATATATTAATCTAATTCGAGGTTTCTAAATTAGTATAATATTCTTATTTATATTAATTAATCTCTTAAGATTTATCTTATTTAGATATTTTATTTAATAATATTATAACTTAATAGCTTTCTTATTAAATATTAAGCTTATTATTAAAACTCTTATATTTTTTTAAATAAATATTAATATCTTAATTATAGATTATAAGATATTAAGAATATAGATATTATTTATCTTTAAAGCGCTATTAATAAGTTTACTATCTTAAAGAATATAATAATTATTATTAAAAAAGATAATTTTAAATTCTTTTTATATAGTCTAATTAATCGAAAATAATTTATATATAAGACTTTATTAATTTTTATAATATTACTAAATTTATTCTATAATAGCTATTCTATTTCGACTATATTATAACTTTATATTTAAATAATATTATATTAATTATTATAATACTTATATAATATAACTAATAATTAATAAACTCGTTTTTATTAAAAAATATATAATTAATATAGTCTAAGTCTATTATTTATTTATATATAACGAGTAAAGATTTATAAATTAAATTTATATTTTTTCTTTAATTAAAGCTATCGAGTAAATAGATAAGCGATCTTTAATAAGCGAACTTTAATAAGCGATATTTAAATTCCTTACGCTTTAATAATTATAAGACTAAATTTAGAAATTCTTTTTTTATCTAAAAGCCTATATTTCGTTCTATAATTTAAAAAAAAATCTTAAAATTTTAATAGAAAATAAAAAAGTTATTCTAAAATTAAATAATATATATCTATTTTTTAATTAGAGCTATTCGGCTACTTTAATAAGCGATATTTTTTTAATAATTACGAACGCTAATTTATTTATCTACGATAACTTAGTCGATCTAATTAAAGAATATAATAATTCTAAATTTATAATTAACTATATATATATATTTAAGATTTTTAAACTTAGCTCTATCTTATTCTTATAATAAGTTAATTATTTATATATACTACGAGTAAAGATCTATAAATTAAATTTATAATTTTTTTAAATTAGAGCTATCTATTAGAATTAGTATAGATGCGATACTAGTATAAGTAAGATAGAATAAGAATAATAAGACTATCGAACTATATAAGTGAAAAGAAGATATAATATAATAGAGAATATCTTCGCTAAGGCTCGCTAGTTATAGAACTAAGTAATATATTAAGAGTACGCTTATAATATTATCTCTCTCTCTTAATAGCTATAGTCTTTATAGCTAATAGATCGAAGATATAAGTTTATTACTTATCTTATATCTCTAAATATCTATAGTCGATATAGATCTTAGCTAGAGATAATTAAGATCTCGAAAATATAACTATATCTTATCTACGTATTAATAAGATTCTTTAAATTCTTCTCTTATCTAGTCTATCTATCGTAGACCTTCGAAAAAAATAAATAATTTCATCGCATATATTAATACTAGCCGGAAAGGTATGGTATAATATAGGATATTGACCTGCCATACCATACTCTAATATGATATAAGTTATTAAGATTTGTATAATCTTATATCTAGTATAATATAGGATCTTAATAGGATATTTCACGATATAATATATCTATAATATTATATCATAGAATAATATATATATAGAATATCCTCGATTAGGATTTCTATATTTAAAAGTAATTATTCTAATTATTATTCTAGTTAACGATTACGCTAAATTAATAAGATATAAAATTAAATATAATTATATTTTATTACTCTATATATATAAAAGAAAGTAAGCTATATCTACTGGTAATAAGAAAAGCTTATCTTTCTCTAATATCAATTATGCGAAATCCGTTGACACTTCGTAATCAAAGCCGTCAACGATGATTTTATACGTCTATTATGCATTTTCGATATCGCTATCTAATATAAAATTATATATATTATAGTTATAATCTTTTTACTAAATTACCGACCTAGGAAAGTTAATATATTTCTTAATATTCTCTCGAAAATATCGTAGCTTAATATAATAAGCTATATTTCTTTAAGCTATCTTCTCGCGATATATAAAAAAAAGATTAGATATAGAAAGTATATAAAAGTATATTTAATAATTCTAGAACGAATTAGCGATATCTATAATAATAATTAAAATTAAGAATTAGATATATTTAAATAAGAGATAGTTTTATATTACTTATATAATAGCAATAATAGTAATTAAGATTAGAATATTAACTTAGATAGCGTAGCTTTTATAGTAAGCTTTTTATTACTATACGTTAGATTAATTACATATAAGTGAAGATTTATAATTCTATCTTTCAAGCGTAATCGCGTTTAATATTTTAAGATTTCTATAATAACTCGATATTTATTAGCTAGCGCGTTAATATTATTATATTTAAACTATAATAGCGCTTATTATTAAATTCTATATTACGCTCTTAAATAGCTTAAAAGATAAGATCTACTTAATTATTAGCGCGTATAATAAAATTATTCTTAATACTTATATCTTATTTAGCTTTAATATTATTTATTTTCTTCTAATTCGAGCTCTTATCTTTATCTATATATATAATAATTCGCGTAATAAGCGAAACTTTAAACTTCTTCGCAATTACGCTCGCGTATTTTTCTTATATAATATTATTAAAATATAAATTTATTAGAATAATAATTAGAACTAGAGATTATTTATTACTTATCTATTATATTTTATCTAATTTATTTAAAAGTTTACTTTTATTATAATAACGATATATTAATATATTTAATTTTACGCTTTTTAATAATTATAGCGTAATTAATAGCTAAAATATCGACTTTCTTTACTTTCTTAACTAGTTTCTTCTTAGACGTAAATATATTCATTCGCTATCGCGATCTCTTAGTGTTTTTATTTTAACTAAATTTATTCTTTATTTTTTATTTTAGTTGAGAGTCTAATCGCCATCTAACTAATTTATATTAAGATTCTTTAATATCGCTATCGTTATTAGTATTTAATACTTATTATAATAAATTATTAGACTTAATCTCTTCTACTTTAATTACTATAAAAAGATAAATTAGTAGATATATATAAAAAAATTAAAGGACTTATATAAATATCTATAAATATTAAGCTATTCTTAATTTTAATTAAAGCTTATTTTATTAAAAAGTGCGTTAATTCTAGCAAATATCGATATTAGAAATAAAGAGAATATATATTACACGCTATTTTAAGTATATTATTATAGAGTTTAATTTAAAGAATAATTATTTTTATAAAGATAGTAAGACTTAAAGATAAGAAAGTAAGAATAGAATACGCGAAAATTTTAATAAGTTATAGTAGTTTAGCGCTAGTCAAATTAGATAAAAATAACTACTTACTAACTCGCTCTCTTAGATCTTTTATCTTTTAATCTATACGGGCTATAATAATAACTATAATTATTATAGAAGTAGCTAAAATTATACTAAATAATAGTATTTAATAAATATAATTCGCTTAAACTTAAATCTTTAAAATTAAAGAGAAAGTATTTTATTAATATCTAATTTAAGCTAAATAATTTAAAGTAATCTAAAAATTTAATACGCGCGATAGATATCTAAGCTTTCCTTCCTCCCTTCTTCCCTCTAAAACTTTCTTTTTATATTAATTCTTCTTATTATTAAACTATCTTCTTTATATATTAAACTTCTATTTAAGTAACTTAATATTATTATAATAATACTAAAAATATAATATAGTCGTTAAGTTATATATTTATTCTTTATCTTTTAATAACTTTAAGCTAATATATAGATAAATCGCGCGAAGAGCTTAACTTATATACGCTTAATCTACTATTAATAGATCTTCAAAAAAGCTAATATTATTTTAGAGTGCTAAACGCAGCGTTAAAATAAAGTCTTTATTAGATATTACCGCTACTTTAATCGCTACCGCCACCGCTTTAATAGATATCGCCTCTACTTTAGTAGTATTAAAGCGTTAATAAAAACTAAATAATATATTCTTCTAATTATTATTATACTTATTATATATAACTAATATAAACTATAACTTAAGCTTTACGCGAGATCTATTATTACTAAAAATTAATTAATCTTATAATCTTAAAGCTCTTCTTTTAACATTTAGTTTATTAAATTATACTTAATTAAAATCTATTAAAGCGCTATTATATTTAAAGATCTATTTTTAAAGTATTATATAAGATAATAGAAGTCTTTCTAATTCGTTAGTTTAAGAGTAAACCTCTTATTACTACGCTTTATAGTTAGCTCTAATAATCCCTACTTAAATAAATATTTACCTTTATACGATATATAAAAAGCGAGTTATATTATAGAAAAAGAATCTAAATCTTATAATTATCTTAATTAAGCCGTTTAAAAAAAAAAGAGAATATATTTATCTTTAGCTATTAAACTAATTAATTATTATAAATATAATTATAAGATATAATTATATATTATTAATTATTCTAATAATTATAAGAAGTATAAGAGAAATAAAATTATATAATTAAGCACTTATAAACTTTTCTCTTTTAAATATTTATTTTAATTTAGAGTTTAATCGCTATCTAATTAAAAAAAGATAAAATATAAAAAATATATAAAAGTAGATTTAATAATTCTAGAATAAATTAATAATATCTATAATAATAATTAGAATTAAAAATTAGATATACTTAAATAAAAGATAGCTTCGCGTTATTTATATAATAATAAGAGTAATAATTAAGATTAAAATATTAATTTAAA